GTCTAACTGTGTCCAAAACCTCCGTTTCGTTTTTATGACGAAATGTATGTTTAAGTTTATATTTTCAGGGACCAATGGGGGGTTAGCCCCTAACACCAATGTTGTTTTCCACTTAGAATGCCTTAACACTAAACGTACATTTATCACTATTATTGACATTTGTGTATACCATTGTATTTTTAACCATATAAAAAGCTATCGTTATTTCAATTCTATCATTTCATATCCTTCCTTTACAACTGCAAATTATCTTAATCCTCCAAGTAACCTGTAATTTGTAAGACACGAACGCGTTTACAGAAGTGAACAGTTAACCTATTGCCTCACCGTGCCTACCGATGACAGCTCTCGTATGTGTGTGTGTGAGTGTATTTATATATATAATGAGTTGCAGTCTGCAGAGCTTCATGGGTGGTATTTACCTGACTTGCACTTTTATTGCTAGTTGAAGAGTGAATATTAAGCAGGATTGGGTTTGCACTAGAAAGTAATTAGTACTACGTGTGCATGCAGGGTTTAAATGAAGTAATAATTTAATATATTATTACTAGCTTGGGTTTGGTGGATATTTGGTTGTGTTTATAGGAGGTTGGGGAGTTTACATTTATGAAAAAAAGATTCGATACATCACAACCAGTGTTTGGCTTGAAAATGTTAATTATTATTGACGTTGTCTTGGTGCAGGGTCCTCCTCAGGGTTTCATAATTTTTCAAAACTTGTTATTTCTGTGTACACCATTATCGTTTTCAATGTTTAATGAAGAAAATCAAACGATGATGTACGGGAAAGCAATCCAAACCCACCATTAATCTCTATTAACAACACTCTCCAAAACTATGTTTTTGTTGTAATTTGATTTTTGACGAGCGGCGTTTTTAGGAAAAACTACAAAATTCTTTTGTTTATTAGGGTAAGTGCTAAAACAAACTAGTTTCCATTTCAAGTTCATTCAGTTTAACCTAACCTAACCTAACTTAATCTAACCTAACCTAACCTGTTGGTGTTGAAAGTTAGTTTTGTTTCAACTGAACGAACTTGAAATTCAAACTATGTAGTTTGTTTTATAGTTTGCATTTCAAGTTCGTTCAGTTTAACCTAACCTAACCTAACTTGACCTAACCTAACCTGTTGGTGTTGAAGGTTAGTTTTGTTTCAAGGTTAGGTATAAAAGTATTGGATAGCCAAACACACAATAAAAGGAAACACTTTTCAATTACTCAATGTAAGTTTTCACAGGTTTCATTCTTATATTTTCAGTATTTTTTTTTTTTAGAATAATTCTAGGTATTGTTTAGTTGTGATGCGTTATAACCTAAGATAATTAAATTGCTTTGTTTCTAACCTTCGAATACTTGTATAAGTTAAGAAATAAGATGGCGGACTGTCGGAAAAGTTTAAGAACTAACATTATCTGCTTAACATGTGCGTCATACTTGGGTTTGGACATGAATTATGTAGCCGACTCCATGGTCACGATTGGTTTCGGTTAGACGGAATGTTGGCGAGGTTTTCCCACTCCCGATTTATATTTCCGGTGTAGCCTAAGTAGGACTGTGATCCCCCACTTGATCATTGTAAACCACATCTCGAATAAGACCCGGTTGTCTTTATGTTGTTGCATATTCAAAGCTCGACAAAGAATATGAACAAACTTTGAATCTCGAAATCTATAACCCCCTCCTCAGCAAGCCTGCAGACTAAACAAATTTCGTTAATGGATTTCCACAAAAATATTCCCTTAAGACTCTCGCATATATTTCCTTTTTGAATGACATAGAATTTAATGAGTATTAATGTTTTCTACCGACAGAAAGATAATAAAGTGTGTTTTTATTAAAATGTTAATAGTATTTAATAAATTACTTTGCCACAAAATGTGTTCAAAATATATCCCTAAACAAGCAAGGTACAAGAGTTTTAAGTTTTTATTTTATTCTTCATAAGCATAACATAAGAAAATTTAATTTACAGTTTTTCCCCTCGTCAAAATTTTGAGTTGAAGAACGCTTCAACACATACCGGTACTAAATTATTCGTTTTAAAGCTCTACAAAACGGTAGAGCTTACTTCTTAGAGAGTTTAAATATTAATTACCAACTAATTTCAATTCAAAATCAAAGCAATTCATTTTCCGATAATAAAACATTGCATAGGATATGTGCAACAAAACACTCTGAAATTAGGTTGCAAAGCTTGGGTGCTGGAATCGAGTCGAAACATAAAATGAATATTACACCTACTCTGTTATAGTTAGTAGTTAGATCTCTCTATTACATTAGTGGATCAATATTATAATTCTAATAAAAATTAATTCATAGTTATTTATAGACTAGCTGTACCCGCGGGCTTTGCCCCGTTTAACTTCATTAGTATCAATAAAACTATTGATTGCCGTACCGGGTTGGGTGGTATTTCGAGTGGCTTTTCATGGTTACTTCAAAGAACAACATTGGACTTAATTAGCTGACAGGGAGTATTTGGGCTCTAGGAGAGTATTAAATTAAAAATGGCTATCTCCACTAAGCCTGTTATATTGGCTCTATTCATGACAAAAACATCTGCTCAATTGGTCAAGTCGTCGTCCTGTCCTAATGTAGTTTTATGTCAATGCTCGTTAATTTTCAAGATGAGCTCGTTCGCATGGTTCAATCACGTCCTGATTGAAGTTCGATTGCTACGCTTACTCACCTTTAGGTAGTATGTTTTATCTATGGTTGAACCAGCTGTTAAGATTCTTTAATTCCATTTAAATATCAGTACTCATAAGGTTAACATGGGGAACTCCAGAGCCACTGGGACGCAGCCCGAAAGCCCGATCAAAATAAAAACTACTTAGTTTTCCTATTTAATGCCCAAAGAATCGGTGTACCGAATTTCAGCCTCCTAGTTAAATGGGAAGTGGGAGGATTAGTGATGAGTGAGTGAGTGAGTCAGTGAGGGCTTTGCCTTTTATAAGTATAAGATGGCCCCCATAAATCTATCATCCAATGATTTACAATATAAATAAATATTAAATTTAGCCAAATACAATAATTTAGCTTGGATAAAAATATTACTTTACACAAACTATTTATCCCATCTTTGTCCCAGGCCGACCCCAAGGTCATGGGTTCATCCCAAGGACACTCGTGTAATCTCTATTACCAGAAGACGCACGCTCACGTTTAATTTACATCCGGCATTCTAGAATTTACCATTTACCTCCATTAAATTACCGTCTAGTTAGCCTTTTTATAGACAAACAACAACCTTCAGTCGTGCGGTTTAGCTGCAAGTACATTGTCATTTGCAAACAAGTGTGGTTTTGGGTTGTTCAAATTGTGACTAGTGGATGATATAAGGAAATCTTCGTTTCTTGTTGCGAACTTTAATCTTAGATTTACAAATGTTGTAGTGTTATCCGGAGAACATTTTTATGGGGCAGTTTAGGAAAAATCAACAATATACGATGAATATGTAGTTTACAACTTTTGTCTGACCGATTGCTTTTAATGTTTAACAAAATCTCAAAGAGCAAAGATTTTTTAAATTTTGGTTATGGTTAAGTTATGGCACTGTAATTGAAACATTTTTTTTTTTTTTTTTTTTTTACCTATAAGGACTACAAGTGCAATGTTTAATAGTTTTTCTGACTTGCTGATCGTGTTTAAGAACACTCATTGATTTAGTATCCTATTCTTACAGGATACTCTTTACCTATTTACAATCATACTTTTGTATTTAAACTAATGATAATCCAAAACATTATGTACGTAAATGTGAAAAAGGTTACTCAGTCAATCCTAACCTAGTATTGAAAGAAAACAACAGATCATATAACAAACTTGTTTCATTTTCAAGTTGAAATGCCTCAAGATATCACGATTGTTTAATTACAGACAATTTAATTCACGGTGTAAATGTGCATGTCTTAACAGTGACTAACTAGCCTACGTCAATTGTGGATAGAACAGCAGAACACAATTAATTGAAGAGCTTATATTGTAATATCGCAAAACATCAATTATTGTGAATTTGCAAAACCACACGTACCTTACACTCTTAAATTAACATCATTAAGCATTAAGCTTTTTTTATAAAATCTTTGTCGAATTGAAATATTAATATTGGATGCTAGCTGTAATAAGCTTAACTATTTATAAATTGTATAGTTCCTCTTAGAAATAGAGAAAGAATAAATTATGTATATTATTATAGAAACTCGCACAGTAGGCCTACTTAGAAACCACATGTTTGGCAGTTTAAAATTAATCTGCAACATATGAAACACATTCAAAAGAAAATATGTAATTAAATGTTACACAGAAATAGTACATCTTCTAATACCGTTTCTGGGTTTTGGTACACTACGCCAAAACGTTTCAAGGTCATAAATATAGTTATAAAATATGTTACAGTAGTTTATGCCAACCCATTAACACATATACCAAAATATTATACTATACCAAAACACTTTTACCGTTTCCAAAGAAACAATAAAAATTAGTTTGCAAGATGAACGTGGTAGCTCTAAAACCCCAAAGATTTGTTGCTAAGAGATTTAACATTGGGAATGAAACAAATATCTTCTCAAGCATATCGAACAATTTTCCAACCATTCACTGACACCAGATACTGGTTCGATAATGCATGAGGAAAAACAAACATGCAAATATAATAAACTGTATTTTATTAATTTGTTGATCAAATAGACGCTGAGATTTTGCAGTTTCATAAGTCATTGCGACTACGATAAAAAAAACTTACATTTCCTACATTTTTCAAATTTTTTTTCATTTATACATATTTAAATGAGAACAGTTCATCGACACAGTGACCAACTTAAGCTCAAGTGGAAATCTGAAGATGAGATTCTCAAATCAAGAGCATCTTCTAGGTGTGATACTGTTTATCAGTCAAGAATAGCTCCTCGGCATGACACTATACGTCGGAATTAATTATGTCAGCTGATAATTACAATATACCTGTGATAATCAGCTGATTATTCGTGGAGGGGGTTTGATTGTTGTCAGTTGTCATTGTAGGTTAGTCTTCTAGTAACCAAGTCGGGAGACGGTTGTCCTGTAGGTCTAGTTTGTGCTCGCCCAGTTCAAAATGGTGGAAAAGACTTCAAGCAGTAAGTTGTTTAGTAATTTTTTGCTACCAACACATGAGTTTTCAATTTATTTTAAGTATGTCGAGGTTTTTTGTTTTTATTTATAGTTAAGGTTGTTGAACTGTTCAAAAATGTGTTTACAGTAGTAGAGTAATTTTTACTGGTTGGAGAGAATGTAATTTTGAATACCATATCAGCTATTTCATCTTATTTGGTTTTCACTTTGTATACACTGCCTTAAAGTAGGCCATCCACTAATTTTAAATGTACCAAATACATGGAGTACCAATTATAAATAAGAGATTGTCTAAGTAAATAATATAAATATGTAAAAATAACCTCCTTCCACAAAATTATAATCAAGTTGGTATAACACAAACATGAAATACTAAAGCTAATAAATCAAATCAAATCAATAAATAAGCTAAGCATATTATTTCCTCGTCAAATTTATGGTAACCAGAAAATAAGCATGAAGACTATTAGAAGGAGAAAACTATGGATTTAGAAAAAATGTTTGTTGAATAACCTCTTAATCAGCATATTAGGTGTTAATATTTTTAGAAAGTAAATAAAATCACGTCTAATAACGTTGAAACATATATTTACCCTTTCATTGGTTTAACAAGTCAGAAAATACACATGAAAGTGATAGTGGTGATCGATTTCGATTAGATAATCCAATAATCATCAGACCCAGTATCCAAATGATCTAAATACCTGTTATTCGCCTATTTGGTGTAATGATTATTGGAGTGTCCAATCGAAATCGATCATCATTACTATTTTCCATGTTTTTTACCGTCTTGTTAAAACAGTTAAAGTGTAAATATAACTCAGTGTTCTTAGAAAAATGTATATTTACTTTCCGTAAAATATTTGTTCTAGAATAAAGTTTCGAAACCCTTTAAAACGTAAATTGGTTATTTAAAAAAATTATTGATGCACTGGCGCATTGGAAGTATTTGTAGTCCAATACTTCATTCAAAATGTTCTATACTGAAATAACCATTTGTACTTTAGTCTTTTGGACACTATATTTATTTTTTCTTGAATTCGCTCTTTTTAATCTGTGGTTTGATTATGTTTAAAAAAATATAGGTAGGTAACCGATTATTTTCTAAGTTTTATAATAAATATTTAAGAAATGCTATTATTGAAAACTTACAAATTTAGGTGCGCATCTATTTATCCCTGATACAATAATACAATATTTTTTATTTAGAGAAATTCTAGAATTTTAAACAAAATGATTTGTCCAGGTATTTTGCAGTCGTATTGAATTACACAGTAGCTCAAGTGCTTGTAAATAACAATTACAAGAATGGATTTCCTGTCTCATACCAGTGAATTAACAATTGCATTGTTCTTGAAATTGACGTATTCCCTTACAAGATGGACATTGCCTTTCAACAGTTACTTTACTTACTACTCTGTACATTTCCTTTGATCAATTACTTTACTTACTTTTGTGTACAATTATCGACATCAGTAATTTCCATCATTGCTAAAACTATTGACCTTCATGAGGTTATAGACACGATATTTTATTGTAGTCTGTTTCACTTAATTAATTTGGGTGGAATTGTAACCTTTAATTGGTTTACCTGATAAAGAATAATTGAAAATCTCGCAGTGCATTATTATATCACATTTACATTATTAACTTAATAAAATGCTTTTATGTTTGCATTAGTTGTTTCGCACGAAGAGTTTTCGATAAGGTTACTGGAGTATAAATAAGTTGTATTGAAACCTTCATTATTGTCAAGCAGTGTCAGACATGTTGATGCACGAAGGACGGGTACTCTGCTAGTCACTTATAATCTGAAATAAAAATATTCTATTTGAAAAAATAAATATTTTTGTACCTAAAGAAAAAAACGTTATTTGCAAATACTAAAAGTAGTCCAATGGGCCTTGTTAATTATAGATAGTATGAGTGATTAGTTTTTACAAAATAAAAGAGATGAAAAACAATTGATGGTTTATTAACATGGTTGAGAACAAAACTGATAAAAAGTAAACAAAAAAGTAAATAAATCATAACAATTAATAACATATGATTTCATCCTCAAATGGCAGGCAGTTGATAGTATACATAGTACTTCTAACAGGCCTGTTGTTCGTTATGAGGCGTTCGGTTCCTTTTCAGTGTACTGATGTTTCTAATTTTGTAGTCAGCACTCTTTTTTTCGTTTTTTACAATTAGTAGATACAATGTATTGGTCAATTGCGTCTAATATTTTCATTTAACATTTTAAAAACTAAATCTACATTTGAACTGCCTTGTTGATAGTACATAACAATCTATTTTTGACCGCTTCTCTGATGTAGATTTTAAAATTGCACAAATCATAAAAAAACTATACCAAATAAAAGAGAATATTTAGTTGAATCCAGAGCACTCAGAAGTAGCCATCATAAACCAAAACTAAAACTCCAGAAAGGCTTAAGAAGTTAATATAGAATGTCTACTCCTACAATTAAAGTCAATTGTGGAGCATAAACTGCAAAATCTATCTTAAAGTATTCAAAGACAATAGTCCTGCACACTAATAAACCCCACAATCAATTATTTAAGTCTATAAACATACAATAAATATAGTTTCCATTACACCTGGCCAGATTATTTGCATGCACCTGTGCAGAGAGCACCTTGCATCTAGACGTGCCATAGTGAACGTGAGGTTGTATAGGTCAAATGAACTGGTTCTATGATAATTATTGGTTGAGAACCCATTACACGCTGACCTGATCAAATCAAACTGAAGTTAATAAAGTAACAGTCATCGTTTTTACAACCGAAATGTTCAAATTGTTTGATGTTTCGTGCTGTTGGTGTGTTCTGCGAACAGGGAAAATGGGGTATGATTTTTCCTGTGTGTTTGAAATGTTGGCTGCACTTTAGTATCCGACCTACACTCATTCGAATTAATATATCGATTATTTCTTTGGATATATCAAGTTTGGTAAGTTAGGTAAGCCTAACTAACCGAATGAAATAATTGATATATCGAATAACCTATACATCGATAGTTTTCATTCGAATGAGTGTATGACGGATATTAAAGTGTAGCCGAAATGTTTTAAAGATTACTTTTATGCATTGTTATTTGGTGTTCAAGTTTTAAGCTTTATATTATTTTGATTGTTTTCTAAAAATTGTTTTCTATTGGTAGATCGACTAACCGTAAACAATTGCTTTGTTGTTGATTTTTATTAATTTTTAATTTTAGGTGCTGATGCAGTAAATAGTAAATAAAAAAAATTTAAAAAAATATTTTACCAAAAAACTGGTCCCACACAAATAAAGTATAACACTAACAGCAAATAACTTTCAACTATGAAGACGATAAAATGTATTTACTATATAAATTGAATTCCATCAATTGGACTAACAAGTCTATTAGTTTATTCTGTACAAAAATTACTTTTTACATACTACGATTTTTCACATATGCAGTAGTTAAAAAGATGTTGGGGCTCAGTCAAGTGTCTTTGTTTTTTGTATTAATTTAAATATCTTTGTATATAACAGTCGATATGTAATTTCATCACATGACCATTTCCATTGTTGAATTCACTCACCACGAATCACCTCTCATAACCACAAGTATGCATTTTGTCCCTTAAAAATAAACCTCTTTTATACCAAAACCTTAGATTTTTTCCTTTTAGCGAATTTCCCTATAGGGAAGTAGCTATTACCGTAGGTGGCATGGTAAGACCTAAGCCCGGGAGCGATTTACTTTTTCATTTTGATGTCCCCAGAGGCCAAAAACACCATTCGTTCAAATTTTTATATATGTATATATATAGATTTATATATATATGTGTCCGTGAACGCGATAACTTGAGTAATTTTTGTCCTATTTTGATGAAATTTGGTTTAAAGGTGTAAAGCGGGATAAACTTGAATGAGTTCGCGAACCAGCATGGTCCACATGGGAACAGGGCTTTACGGGGGGTTTTATGGGGTAAAAATTGGTTTTTCTCACTTATGACCCTCAAAACACAAAGTTTCCCAATTTCTTTTTATACCTTTTTAAAGAGCTTAAAAAAACAAATAATTTAGTATATAAAAGTATTTTTGTACGGTTATTGGTAACGGAGAAATTTTAAAAAGTTGTAAATTTAAAATTCCCATGTTATTCTTATGGAGAATATTGTAAAATGTTGTAGTTTGGTTGTTTATGGATATATTTTGATCAAACTTGGCAAACTTATTTATTTTGTACTAAGCTATTAATATTTTACTAAAAAAAACACTTGATTAGTTTCCTTGTAGCAGCAAACCTAGGTACTCGACCTATAATGTTATTTAAATATATTTAATTGAAAATCAATTCAGACAAATGGAAATTCGCTTAGTTGTCAGGTTTGCTGCGACGGGGATATTTATATTATAATTACACCACACAGTTGGCATTAGATTTTTATATTTTTGTTACACAATTAGGTATTTATTTCGTTCTTTAACTACATATATGTGTAATTGAATTTCTATAAATGAATGGAAGATTAAGACTGTTTTCCCTTCAACCACTTACAGTTATTTCACACTTAGAACTAGTTTCTTCACGCACGATTTTACTATTTGTCTACCCAGCAAAATATAACACACGTTCCTGGTCGTGAATTGGGTTTTAAGGAGCAGTGATGCAACCTAACTAGATAATACTACCTCTGAGTGATGGGATTTTAATGCCGCACGTGTGGCAACACTGCAGGTCAGAGGAAACGATGATTGTTGTGCGAAAAACAGCTGTAATTGCTTCTGGAAGTCGAAGAAGTTTCCAGAGATTAGTTTCGCAAATAAAAGCGGTTGAAATTGTTAGATAAACGTGTTGTGCTATATTCTTGATACAAACTATTCCTTGGTGGTAGGTGTTTGAATGAGCAACTGGATAAACAATCAACAATTATATTTTAGAATGAGCTATTGTTTCATGATAGGGAGGATGCAAACTTAAAGATAAATGACGTAGGTTTTTTAGGGGTTTGGAAAGGTTAAAGTA